TTTTTCACAGCAGCACTGGTGTCCTTCCAGCCTTTTTAAAAACTGTAAGCACTAGTGTTTGAGAAGCAAGGCCATTAGGAAGGTGGAGTTATTTGGTTACTTCCATTTAGAATAAATCATACACCTGTGACGAGTACTGAGGAGACGAAGAGGCAGGATGCAGACGCAGGAATCAACAAGGTAAAGGTTTACTTAACAATGAGAAAGAGAATAAGAAGGAAGAAACTTTAAAAGTTCTTGAAATGTTCTGTATTTTTTTTTTTTTTTTTTTATTTCACCTTTATTTAACCAGGTAAACCAGTTGACTGACCTTACAGTCAGAATGCTGAATGTGGATGTGGTGCAGGAATCAGGCGCAGGACACAGAAGCTTCCTCCAACAGACTTTAGTAGACGACAACGAAATACAAACGGGCCTCAAAAGAGCCCGGAGGCGAGCGATTACGCACACCGTGCGTAAACACCAAAATACAATAAGCGCGCACACAAGTGCGAAAACTCTCCAAACAATGGAGCAAAACAATCACAGCACCTGCTGACAGGCGGAACAATTACACACAACACACGACTAACAAAACGAGAACTTATAGGACACATAATTAACACTAAACGGAAACAGGTGTACAAATAAGACAAAACCAAACAAACATCGAAAACATACAACGGTGGCAGCTAGTACTCCGGGGACGACGACCGCCGAAGCCTGCCCGAGCAAGGAGGAGGAGCAGCCTTGGCCGAAACCGTAACACTGACGTTGTAAAGTAATGATGGACTGTCGTTTCTCTTTGCTTATTTGAGATGTTCTTGCCATAATATGGACTTAGCCCTATTTGGTAAAATACCATCTTCTGTATACCCCCCACCTTGTCACAAAACAACTGATTGGCTCAAACGCATTAAGAAGGAAAGGAATTCCACAAATTAACTTTTTAGAAGGCACCTGTTATTTTAAATGCATTCCAGGTGATTACCTCATGAAGCTGGTTGAGAGAATGTCAAGACTAAGCAAAGCTGTCATCATGGCAAAGGGTGGCTATTTGAAGAATCTCAAATAGAAAATATATTTTTAATTGTTAACTTTTTTGGTTACTACATGATTCCATATGTGTTATTTCATAGGGTTCATGTCTTCACTATTATTCTACAATGTAAAACATTTTAAAAATAAAGAAAAACCCTTGAATGAGTAGGTGTGTCCAAACTTTTGTCTTGTAGTGTATATGCGTAACTGTAGAAGGGTGTAGGTCTATGGACGTGTTTGTAGTCACAATTGACATGCAAGTGGCAGCTACCTCACCCACAGTGGCACAGTTCCCCTGAAGGCTCATCCCACCCGCTGCTGAACATGGCAATCCGCAGACGCCTGGGTCCCCAAGCAAAGAAAGTGATAAAAATGTTTGCAGCTGACAGCTACCATCAAGCTCTGACGAATGGGAGAGCATTCCAGGGTTTGAGCTAAGAGCTTTGGCACTGAGATATTGCTTGGAAGGCAGAGTCAAAGACATAGCTACAGCTACATTTGGCTGCCATCGCCAGTGAAAATGCCTCACTTATCTGTCACTGGACATTAAATCAAGATACAAATGGTTAAAATATTGTCCAGCGCGGCGGTTATACTCACATTATTGTACCCAGCTTCATTTGTGGTCACATATCTGTGTTCCATTACATTCCATATGATATGACAGACTAATCCAAGCATTCAGTTATCAGTTAACTTCACACATTCTGTATCATATATAGATGTATGTGGAATATGGCACAATATCTGCATGAGGAAAATAGGTTTACAAGTAGTGTACTGTTTCATAACCTTAATTGTTAATGTATTCCTTAGTTACATTGTAATGTTATTGAAATATCATAGTTGAGGTTCAAAGACTGATATGGATAAAGTAGGGATGAATAACTATTCCAAAGAGACAACACTTTTCCCATGTTGATCTATCTACAATGTCTACCATTAAATGTTTCAAAACCTTGTCCTTTCAGAGAATACACTTTTTACAGTCATGTAACTGTAACAATTTAGTAATTTAATTCATGTTTGAAATCCCTTAATCGGTAAGTTGCTCCTGTGTAGGCAGATTCAAGGTTTGCACATAGTACTATTCCATTCTTTGCAACGCAGAAGGGATTATATCTTTCTTCTACTTTGAGCCTGTGGGAAGTTGGAAAGGGTTTACAGTTCCCTTCTTGCATCTGGCACTATTCCCCTCACTCCATAATGAGGATTTCATAGCTGGATAAATGAATTAATTTGAGGGATTTTGAATAGGAGATGATATGGCATACATTTAAATCTCACTCGCGCAAGCATTCACCTTCAGCTGTTTTCCAGGGGCCACAGTGTTTATTTTTCAACTGCCAACAAAAGTAGGGCATCATGTCACGCCCTGACCTTGAGAGCCCTGTTATTTCTCTAGTTAGTTTGGTCAGGGTGTGAATGCTAGTTGATCTATGTTATATATTTCTATGTTGGCCGGGTGTGGTTCCCAATCAGAGGCAGCTGTTGATCGTTGCCTCTGATTGGGGATCATACTTAGGCAGCCCAGTTTGCATACCTTAGTTGTGGGATCTTGTTTCTGTTTGGCTTGTTTGATGTGTTTATTATAATAAACGACTATGTACGCATACCACGCTGCACCTTGGTCTGATCATTTACACAACGAACGTGACACCTCAGCATTTAATGCAACATCCAGATGGCTCAATTTGAAGAAGATAATGTTTAATTCTTATTATGCGTGAAATTATTTTCGGTACAGTTTAGGTGTACTTTCAATCGGCCGGATGTGCAGGCTGACTGGCATCGTTTCTTTCCCGCTCATCAAGTTGGATAGAGTAAAGGATATGTTTTGTAGTATTCTAAAGGCCTACTGCAACATGTAGCATGTTTTCATTTCCCTTACAATACATTTGATTAGTAATAGAGTTACTGTAAAGAAAACAGTCCCATAAAATGTAAAAGAGAATGGTATCAACCCGCAAGGCATATGGTCAAATTATTAACATAAGCGCCAACGCTGATAAATAGGCATAACACAAACTCATCATTACACTATTGTTGTTCTAAATTAATTCAACCTCTTCACCCTCATCATTCAGTTAGGCCTAATTTAAATTATATTGTGAAGTAACTTGCACAATTATCGCCCATTCCATCTATTTGTCATTCGTTCAGTGGGCTGGCATCGTTTGCGTCCCTTCGCACATCAACTCGGCTAGTGTCAAGGATATGTTTTGCATTATTCTAAAGGCCTACTGCAACATGTAGCATGTTTTCATTTCTTTACAATACATTTGATGACTAATAGCGTTATAGTAAATAAAACAGTCCCATAACAGCTTATTTTTACAAAGTTAAACGTAAAAGAGAATGATTTCAACCTGCAAGGCCGCATGGTGAAGTTATTGGCTAATGATAAATAGGCATAACACAAACTCATCATTACAATATTGTCTTTCTAAATTAAATCAACCACTTCACCCTCGTTATCATAACGTTAGGCCAATTTTAAATTAAATTGTGAAGGTGCACAACCATCACCCATTCATCCATTTGACATTCATTCAGTGAGGAGAGAGAGACTCATTAGCACCTGGCTGGGTACCAACGTCCTACTGCGTATTGTCATGGCGGGTTAAGTTGGGAATAGGTGTCAAAAAACCTGGCAGGGTTGGTCTAAAAGCCAAAGACCCTGGATGGGTGAGCATAATATACAGGGATTTTCTCAAACCTGATAATGAGAACCTTGACAACCTCGTATCTAGCCGGTGGGAATTCCGGTGGAATACCCCCACCCAGGTAGTGGCAGTGCTGGCAACACTGTCTGCAGTAACCCATGGGGAGGGAGTCACACTCTGACAATCAGAGTGGGCATATTATTGTGGCACTGGCAGCACAGAATAATCAAATGGCCTGACTGCACAGAGGTGCTTGGGAAGATGTGTGTGTTGGGGGTAAGGGGGGCGCAGTGGTCTAAGGCACTGCATCGCAGTGCTAACTGTGCCACTAGAGATCCTGGTTCGAATCCAGGCTCTGTCGCAGCCGGCCGCGACCGGGAGACTCATGGGCGGCGCACAATTGGCCCAGCGTCGTCCAGGGTAGGGGAGGGAATGGCCGGCAGGGATGTAGCTCAGTTGATAGAGCATGGTGTTTGCAACGCCAGGGTTGTGGGTTTGATTCCCACGGGGGGCCAGTATAAATATATATATGTATTCACTAACTGTAAGTCGCTCTGGATAAGAGCGTCTGCTAAATGACTAAAATGTAAAATGTAAAAAATGTATCCGAGCTCCATCACCTAGGTCTGGACATTGGTTAATCAAATCTTTCCATTCCTGCTCAATTTGGCATGCCTTCTCAAACTGTATATATATATATAATTATTTTTCTTCACCTTTATTTAACCAGGTAAGCCAGTTGAGAACAAGTATACGCATTCACACATCAAGTCTTCTAGATACATGTACATGGATGAAATGTTACTTTTCATTTGCACAAAAAATAGTTTGAGATGTTTCCTCTACCTTCTAATAAAAGCTTTCTGCTATTTTATATGGGGGGGGGGGGGGGGGTGAGTGGAAACAGTTTGTTATGGAAAGTCAATGCTGTCTGTCTGCCTTGCAAGATGGCCTGTAGTATTAATACACAAATCATTGTGCTATTCAAAGGCTGTTACATTCCTAGGAACTATGGTCAGCAAAGTTATACAAACCATTTACATTACTTGTTGAGTCAGACGATTTCCATATCAACAGAGTTGATTGGAATTTGTTTCAATACAGCTCATGCAAACAAAAACAGTAGACAGTAAAAACAGTATCACAAAAAAAAAAAAAACATCCATAAAAACATTCATATTTGATCAATACTCTAGATCTCAAGGGCCACTGAACATACTAGTGACAACTGCTAACCAGAATAGTATTGTCCTCACTTAAGTCCCTGTGAGAGGAAGCTACTTGACTATTGAGACGCAACCACAGTGTGTGTCCTCAAGGTGAAGAGGTGTTGAAGGGGACCCCGGGGTCAGTTGGAGGTTTTCGTAGTAACAGGAACTGCAAGAAGTCGGCCATCATGGCGCGGAGATCCAGGTGCTGCCGTATGTATGAGGCATGTTCAGCCTTCAACTCCTCCTGTTACACCATGTGTAACACACACAAGTCAGGTCATGTTAGAAACTTAGGGGTTAGTGGTTTGAGAGTAAGGAGCTAGGCCAGGGTGAGAGTAGGGGGTAATAGGTAGGGTGTAGGAAAATACTTAACATGTCACCTTTCTGTCCAGGAAATTGGAGTGCATTTGCATTTCCTCCTAACACACCAGACACCTCTTCTCAAACACTGGTTTATCATCCCTCATCTCTGACACAAGTACACCCAAACATGTAAATAGGGGAACACTCCTAATAGTATGTGTGTGTGTGTAATGTCCTCTTACCCATCAGGTAGCAAGTAGCAGTGCCAACACTGAGGGAGGTCTATTAACCTGAGCCACGGTGCACCCGGCTATGGCCAGTGACATGAACGGGCAAAAGTGGTGAGGGAGAAGCGCCCTTCTCAAATCGAACAGTAATCTGCGCCATCGGTCATGTTGTCAACAAGGCAACATGGTGCATCGTTAGAATGGACTGGAGAACAGCGAACAGAACAATTGAGTGGAATTCCCCCACTAAATTTAACGTACCAGTCGCCAGCCAAACGAATGCAAAGCTGTATGATGAGTCGGGAACTGAAGTTGATTGAGAAGTGTTTGAGGAGGTGCTGACACAGCGAAGTCCTGGTGTTTTCACAATCACACTGGACAACAATACTGATACTGGTATGTGTTGGTTTTTCACAGTAATACAGTTAGAAGAGGGTTTAACTGTCAGCCTCTCCCTTGGGGTAGTCAAATGGATTAATAAAGTACACTTCTTGTCAGGACATCACAACCACGCCATGTGAGGGAGACATATGCTCAAGGAATTGTCGCCTTGTGCCCTTACTTCAAAGACCCCTACAAAACCAAAGGATATGTGAGTATTAATTGGCCAAAATGTTTTTGTATAGGCCACATTTTGCATGGGTTTTGGATTGCATGTTACACAACTTGCAATTGTTGTCTGATTAGGAGTGTTAATGTAGTGAGCAAAGTGTTGCTATGACTTTTCCATTGTGTTTAGATGAGTGAATGTGTTCTCCTTTTCTTCAAGGAACATTATTTTCAAACTGGAAATGGTTACTTGTCCTGGAAAATCAAAACCATCCATCCATCAGCGGTGGCCCAACAGCTGAGAGAGAGACTTCATCCCATCCAGAGATTACCCTGAGTTATGAAAAGTGCAGGGAGGCCATTTCCCTCATGAAGCATTCTTCTGATGAGGCCACCATCAAGCAGAAGCTGAATATGACATTTGAATACAGACAGAAGATGACTCATGACCCAAGTAAATGCTGCGAGTTGCTGACTGAATTTCCACGGTTCATGGATATGAAGGGCCTGGAAACTCTTCAAACTCAACATTTCAAAATAGATGTACATTGATTTTTAATCTTTAGATCAAGTAGTAATGTTATTTAGTTACAGTAGACTTGGACCACAGATGTAAACTAAAACTATTCATTTGGACCAGTTGACATAGCCAACCAGGGCAGAGTGTAGCCAACAAGCTGGCAAAGTAATGCATGTTTTAATACTGTTGTCAACCTCTCAAGTGTTTGAGTATATGTGAAATGTTGGCAAACAAGCTTGCTTGCATAAAACCAATGTTTTGTTCTGTCTGTATGTGCCATTTAAAAATTTTGCAGATTGAACAGGATTTTGTGACTCTATTTGGAGAGCACTTCAGCCAGGTTTTTGGAGCAGTGGCCAACTGCGTTCAAGCAAAAGATAATTGAGCAAAGCAGAGGCCTTGCCTCCACAGATGAACATCAGGAGCTGATCCAGGCGGCAGAATGGCTGGCAATGAAAATAAAACTGACACAGATACTGCAGGTAAAATTAACATAACCTGAGACAGAACAGAATCACCTTATCGGCCTTCTACCTTGAATCCAAAAATGGAGAGTTTAATTGCTTTGGCAGTTTTGTAAGTATTGTGCTACTGTATTACATATTGCTCAGTATCTTTCTATGTTTAGGATGGGACAATAACCTCTCCTCCATCCTCCTCTTGCTCCATTTGATTCCCCCTTCATCACAAGGCTGCAAAAGACCAGGCAAGGTGTCTGCCTCTCAAGCTGAGAAGCATCTCATCATATTCAAAAAGGTTTGCATTAGTCTCCTTATCTGAGTACCTAGTGTCACAGTTTATTGAATCCAAGCCACCATACTACTGGTGAATTTGAAATAATGGTAGTGTTTCTTTTGTTGTTTTTGTCTTCAAGAAGGAACACCTTGATGCCATTGTCCAAAGCAGTCAACCGTACCTCCGTGCTGTCGGGAACAAGAGGAGCAGCATCCATAGTTACTTCATCATCAAGGACAAGCAAGCTCTGCCATGCAACTCTACAAGCACTCTTGGTGTCTTTGATGAGCTCTTCAAGACATACTTTGTGTTTGGGACCTCTTACAATCTGATGCTACACAGTATGTATACAGTGAGGGAAAAAAGTATTTGATCCCCTGCTGATTTTGTACGTTTGCCCACAAGACAAAGAAATTATCAGTCTATAATTTTAATGATAGGTTTATTTGAACAGTGAGAGACAGAATAACAACAAAAAAATCCAGAAAAACTCATGTCAAAAATGTTATAAATTGATTTGCATTTTAATGAGGGAAATAAGTATTTGACCCCTCTGCAAAACATGACTTAGTACTTGGTGGCAAAACCCTTGTTGGCAATCACAGAGGTCAGACGTTTCTTTTAGTTGGCCACCAGGTTTGCACACATCTCAGGAGGGATTTTGTCCCACTACTTTTTGCAGATCTTCTCCAAGTCATTAAGGTTTCGAGGCTGACGTTTGGCAACTCTAACCTTCAGCTCCCTCCACTCCTTTGTTGCCTTGGCCATGTGTTTTTGTTCATTGTCATGATGGAATACCCATCCACGACCCATTTTCAATGCCCTGGCTGAGGGAAGGAGGTTCTCACCCAAGATTTGACGGTACTTGGCCCCGTCCATCGTCCCTTTGATGCAGTGAAGTTGTCTTGTCCCCTTAGCAGAAAAACACCCCCAAAGCATAATGTTTCCACCTCCATGTTTGACGGTGGGGATGGTGTTCTTGGGGTCTTAGGCAGCATTCCTCCTCCTCCAAACACAGCGAGTTGAGTTGATGCCAAAGAGCTCAATTTTGGTGCTTTCTTGAGCAGGGGGACCTTGCGGGCGCTGCAGGATGTCAGTCCTTCACGGCGTAGTGTGTTACCAATTGTTTTCTTGGTGACTATGGTCCCAGCTGCCTTGAGATCATTGACAAGATCCTCCCGTGTAGTTCTGGGCTGATTCTTCACCGTTCTCATGATCATTGCAACTACACGAGGGGAGATATTGCATGGAGCCCCAGGCCGAGGGAGATTGACAGTTATTTTGTGTTTCTTCCATTTGCAAATAATCGCACCAATTGCTGTCACCTTCTCACCAAGCTGCTTGGCGATGGTCTTCTAGCCCATTCCAGCCTTTTGTAGGTCTACAATCTTGTCCCTGACATCCTTGGAGAGCTCTTTGGTCTTGGCCATGGTGGAGAGTTTGGAATCTGATTGATTGCTTCTGTGGACAGGTGTCTTTTATACAGGTAACAAGCTGAGATTAGGAGCACTCCCTTTAAGAGTGTGCTCCTAATCTCAGCTCGTTACCTGTATAATAGACACCTGGGAGCCAGAAATCTTTCTGATTGAGAGGGGGTCAAATACTTATTTCCCTCATTAAAATGCAAATCAATTTATAACATTTTTGACATGCGTTTTTCTGGATTTTTTTGTTGTTCTTCTGTCTCTCACTGTTCAAATAAACCTACCATTAAAATTATAGACTGATAATTTCTTTGTCAGTGGGCAAATGTACAAAATCAGCAGGGGATCAAATACTTTTTTCCCTTACTGTATCTACTAAGGAGTACTTTAAAAAGGCAACTGATTACCATAAGTGAAATATATAAGCAAATTATCTCTCTGTTCCCAAGCCCAGATAATGGATGTTATTACATCAAAATGGATAATGCTATACCTTTCTCTTGTGCGAGAACTTGTATTAATCCATCACCACCAATCTCTGTAGAGAACTTGACCCAATTTGGAAACCCTTCCTCCTCTTGAACCTCCTAGGGCTTTATTGCAGACCTTCAATAATGAGAGATAAGACAAATGTTAGTGATATGAAAAGACTTGAGTGTCCCAGGGAAGCATGACCCTCAACTTCTATAGGAGGGGCACCGAAATCAAATCTCACCTAGGGTCCCAAATCGTCTTGAGCTGACACTGCTCCTGTCTCATGTGGAAATACACTTTAATGGAAGTGTTTGAGTTTGTCTGATGTTGCTATTTGCACTGTAATGCACTGTAAACATTTTAATATTTGATAAAACTTTCAGCCTATATTCAGTTAGCAAAACAGGCTTTTAAAAATTCAAACAGATTGAGTAATCAAAGTAATAACTGACAGATTGATTATCAAAATAATTGTTAGTTGCAGCTCTAAAAACAGTAATCAAAACACATTTGTAACAGCTTTTACCTCATTTGCCTGAATAGTGTAGGCTCACAAGAATAATAAATTAGGGCAGCAGCAGTGGTGCAAGACTCCCCAGTCGTGCCATGGTGCCTTTCACGGCCTGCCACCATGACAATTAACCTAAATACAGTGGGGGAAAAAAGTATTTAGTCAGCCACCAATTGTGCAAGTTCTCCCACTTAAAAAGATGAGAGAGGCCTGTAATTTTCATCATAGGTACACGTCAACTATGACAGACATAATGAGGAAAAAACATCCAGAAAATCACATTGTAGGATTTTTAATGAATTTATTTGCAAATGATGGTGGAAAATAAGTACTTGGTCAATAACAAAAGTTTCTCAATACTTTGTTATATACCCTTTGTTGGCAATGACACAGGTCAAACGTTTTCTGTAAGTCTTCACAAGGTTTTCACACACTGTTGCTGGTATTTTGGCCCATTCCTCCATGCAGATCTCCTCTAGAGCAGTGATGTTTTGGGGCTGTCGCTGGGCAACATGGACTTTCAACTCCCTCCAAAGATTTTCTATGGGGTTGAGATCTGGAGACTGGCTAGGCCACTCCAGGACCTTGAAATGCTTCTTACGAAGCCACTCCTTCGTTGCCCGGGCGGTGTGTTTGGGATCATTGTCATGCTGAAAGACCCAGCCACGTTTCATCTTCAATGCCCTTGCTGATGGAAGGAGGTTTTCACTCAAAATCTCACGAT